ACTGAGCGTGATGTGGTCTGAGAGTTAGATAGATCTGTAACCCCCCTCCTTCTAGCGCCAAACTGTGGGAACCAAAATTCACACCGTCGATTTTCGTGAATAAAGGAACTTAGGGAAAACCCTAATTTTCCAGAGGTCCCGGCTGTCTGCTTAACCACACGCAAGCAATCAGAATACGATAAAAGATAATAATGTAAACGAGAATTAAAATGAGAGCAAAGAGGCTTCTTATTCCGACTCTGCGTAAGAACGGTACAATGAGGTTAGCCTTGGCTACAAAAGCTGACAGTGAGTTTCCTAGATCTAGCAACCTAAGACTAAAGCCCTAGTTGAGATGCAACTCGATAACAAAAACGAAAAATTGCCTAAACGCTCTAAGTTTGTGTGAAAGAGTTCTGAATTGTCCTTTGCCTCCGTCCTCGACCTTCTGCTTATATATTCTTTATCTAGGCGGTTTGATTTTTCCTTTTCCGCCTTGATCCGCACTTATCGGAAATCTTCCATTTATCTCGATCTTTCCATTATTCTTCGGAAAACTTCTATTTATCTTCAATCTTGACATTTATCCACTTCTGCGAAAAATAGGCAAACCGTCATGGTATCTTTGGGTTGGACCTTATTCAAAGTCACGAATGGGCCTTTATCACGTTTTAGGACCTTTCGGGCCGTTTTACGATTTAGCCGTTTTGCGACTTTAGACGAGGTCGTTTCCTGATATGATGCTGTTTTTAAGTAAACATCTCAAATTAATCGTATGGTTTGGCAATGTTCGGTGTTTCGTTTAACCTTTGCCGTTTTATACGATCTACTCGAGGTCTTACGAGAAAACGCGTCTTTGGTAACTTTTTATAAAAGATCTCGAGTTAATCGCATAGTTTGGCAATCTTCGGTGTTTCGTTTAATCGTTGCCGTTTTATACGATTTACTCGAGGTTTTACTAAAAACACGTCTTTTACGGTTTTTATCTAAAGACGTTCCAATCACGGTTCAGAGTACGATCGATTCGAGGGGCATAGATGGTTGAACTCAGCTCGCCTGTTGGCGAGCTGGACAGATGTTTTCAGCTCGTCAATGGGCGACCTGGTTATATGTGTGGTCAGCTCGCCTGTTGGCGAGCTGGACAGATGTGTTCAGCTCGCCAACGGTCGAGCTGGTTACATGTGTGGCCAGCTCGCCCGTTGACGAGCTGGACAGATGTGTTTAGCTTGCCAACGAGCGAGCTTGTTACATGTGTGTTCAGCTCGCCAATGGGCGAGCTGGTCACATGTGTGGTCAGCTCACCCATTGGCGAGCTGGACAAGTGCGTTTAGCTCGGTTCCGATCTTGTCTTGTTTTCTTGAACCGAGATCCTTGCGGAGAATGTAAGGAGAAGTGTCTGTAGGTGTTGATTCTGATCTTAACATGTAGTTTTAATATCTCGGGGAGTTTGGACGTTAAGGCCGTTTTTGTTAACTTAGCCAATAAAACAATCAACAATCGTGGATTGTTTTATTTGGTTTCCCGACGACTTCCAAGATGATGATTGTTAGTTTTAAGGAAATACTATGTTCGGAGAATCCTTAGATTTGTTCTCGACGCTTTTTCGTGTGTTTAATACTTATTCTTAACTTTGCGGAAAATTTTAGTCGTTGATTCCGTCGTAACCGATTTTCACCCCAACATTCTTCAGCAAACTTCACCTTGAACCCTAGCAAGAGAAACAAATCCCAAGAAATGCCACACCACAAAATGCAGAAATCTACTCCGATAATCACTTTCGAAAGAGTGGTGTGTGTCTCTGCCTTCCCTTACTACGAATGAGACATATCAAATGTGACTTTCCTATGAATTAACTATCTCAGGATCCAACGTAACTGCGTCCATAAATATGCGTTGTGACTCATTGAGAGACTCTCTTCCCAAAGCTGTTGTTTACTGCCAGGTTAGAGAAGCTAAGATATCCCTCCTCAAATTAATCCTTCTACCCTCACGTGGACAAGAAATAGGTAAACAATATTATTACCCTTTCATATTAAAATGGATTGCATTTTCTAATGATTTAATAAAATAAATGGTGCAGAAGAAGAAGTCAGGGTGCTGGACAAAAAAGTACAGCTCATGGGACAAAGAGGAATCTAATCCAAACGGCTCGAGCTTTATAAAACTGGGCCTTGGAGATATAATGGCTTCTAAGCTGGAAGCACTCTCATGTCTCCATTCTTAGCACGACGAACCAAGAGCAAGTTTGTTGTGACTCTTCCAGCTAATGTCAAAGACTCTTCTAATTAAGAACCCAATACTATGCTCTAAAGTCAATCTTTACCCTAACATTAATGCATTGTGGCTTGGTGAATGTACATTACTGGGGAGGAGATCCCGGTTCAATATGGTGGTATCCAAAGAGATGAAGATACAAAATTCCCCAACTAAGCTGTTTCTGAAATTTTTTCAAGTCTGGGTCATCTGTAAACATCAAGATCCCAGCTTCTGAGGTAATAATTTAAATAACCAAACTCCTTTCTATGTTCAAGAGTTGTAAAAGAACGATAGCAATGTTTATGTTTTGTTCTTTTCTTTATAAATCAGAGTTTATTTCCAGATTTTTGAAGCCTCATTTTTTTGCATGAGTTCACTGCTAATCTCGCAACAAGTTCTTCTAGAGACAATGGTGCTAAATGTTACCATTAATTATTATTTTTTGAAGAAAAATTATCATTCATCTTTATTCACTAATCAATTGCTGAGACTAGAGATTTCTTTCTTTAATACAGGGACAATGTGAAACCATAGCCTCGAAAGAAATAAGTCCATGAGACAACTGAAGATGATACCCTATCTTCTAAAGTATTTTCCAACTTGATTACCAGAGCTAAATGACATGGGACTGGCGAGTCTAAATAACTTAGCAACGCGTGTCCCTGAGCTTCGGCGGTTTCTATCCATTGAATACATGACCGGAGGATGCAATCTGTGTTACCAGAGCACATGGCAACCATTGCAACTTATCTTCTAATCTTTATTTCGGGTAGGTTTAAGTAGTTATCTGCTGAGCTTTATGATTGTTAAGCTTTTGGTTCACTCTCCCTCCTGGTTTATTGCTGATATCTGTAAAAATATCAGATGAAGAAGAAGAAGATATTTTTGGGACAGGAAAGCGATCTTTGAATAAGAAGAAAGAAAGAGAAAATGTTTCTACAGATAAACAAGACCTATATAAACATATTAATAAATTAGCTAAGATACATAAAGAACTTAGGAAGACAATCTGAAGACAATACGTGAGGCTGAATTTGTTCCAATGAGTAAACAAACAGATTACATTTTTAAAATAATTTATATGTTCTTTTACAACATGTACGATGATAAGCAGGCTCAAAACAAAATATATAGTTAAGTCTAAAACATAAACACGAACATTGGTAGTAATTACTATAAAGAAAATGTAAAATAGCGATTGTAACACATTTCATTTGTAAAAAACACAAAAGGAACCCTAGCTCTCTGACGGCGATGAGTTTAGCGATTTGGAGTTCAGATCACGATCCCGTTCTTCCTGCATAAGATTTCCTCTGGCGATTGATTGGTAGAGGAGATCTTTGTCTCCGCCTACTCATCATCCTAAGCAGGTTCTGATTCACTGGATTCGATCTTTGTCGATCCCTTATTCCTCACGGCATCGAACTTTATTCTCCGGCTAGTGCACCTGTACTGTCGATCTCCATAGATCTTTTCTCCGTTCGTTGTGAAGGTCATTGCTTCTGTCGTCCCTCGATTGATCACTTATCCGATCTCCGTCCTTTGGTCGATCTCCATCCCGGCTTCTCTCCTATCGCTCATTGACAGAAGCAGCGATCATGGAGGCGACTCGGGGAGTTTAGGAGAAGACTCTGCTTGATCTTTCCTTGGGGATCACAGCGTCTATCGCACCAGAACGATCGTCGTCGGCTGAGTATTTGGTGTCCAGATTAATCTGATCACATCGTCAATCGCGTCTACTTCTCCGATCTAATACCGTCTTTTTATACCGTCTAACTCTGTCTACTCTCTGGTGTTAAATCGCTTACCGTGGTCTCAACACAGGTTGTCGCAACAAGAAAGCATGGGTACACATAGATACTCATATGCATCTCTATCGGATGTAAAAGGCAAGGGCATTGTAGTGGAAGACGATGACGAGCCCATCAAACTCAGGAATCGTGATGATGCGAATGTCATTAAAGACTTCCATCTTTCATTGATTGGAAAGATTCTCAATCCAAAAAAACAACAAGTCGAGAAACTCATTCAGAAGATGCCAGGTCAATGGGGTATGGAAGACAAAATCGTAGCTAATGATCTCGGTAATGGAAAGTTTCTTTTGAACTTTACCTCCGAGGAAGACCTTAACTCTGTTCTTCGGCAGGGTCCTTTTCACTATAACTTCTGCATGTTCGTATTGGTTCGCTGGGAGCCAGTTGTCCATGATGACTATCCATGGATAATCCCTTTTTGGGTCCAGGTTACTGGATTTCCATTGCATTTATGGACAGATTGTAACCTACCGGATGTAGGAGGACGGCTTGGGCACGTTGATACCTTGGAGCTATCTGAGGGTCGTATGCTCATTGAGATAGACTCCCGGAAACCACTGAAATTCTCAAGAAAGGTACAAACAGCTGAGGGAGAAGGTTTCACAATTGAGATAAAGTATGATAAGCTTTTCAAACACTGTGATATTTGTGGATTGCTTTCTCATGAAAAGGCCTACTGTCCAACAATTAACATTCAAAACCGGCTACAACCTGCGGTGGATCGCGCGGGTGGAGTCTTCTCTAGAGTCCGAAGCCCACCACCAGTCCCTTCGTCGTCGATACATGCACCTGAACAACGCAAACAGCAGCATTCTGGTCCACGTTATGGATCATTTTATGACTCCGGTAAGGAGACTGGACTGAGGCGGAATGGTTATGTCTCCTCCAACAACAAAACTGGGACATATCATAGGCCTGGGAGTGATCATTCAAGTAGAATAATAAGGCGTCATGACGACAGGTACCGGAGCACCAAATATGGAGGTACACGCCATACTTCAGGTCCTTATGACCGGAGAAATGAACAGCATTGGAAGATGAAATCGAGAGATACACCTACTGAGGTTGGCGAATTAAGCTCCTCTGATCCACATGGTAAGGGGGAAGATGCGGTTCATATTGAACGCATAGCTGGTATGGCAATGACCGTCCCTCAGCACAATGACAAGGACGCTGCACTGCGCATGAGTGATCATCATGAGCCTGCCTCAGCGCACAAACGTTTGGCGAGCAAGATAGTCACGCCAACAGCTGACGCTAAGATATTGGAGAGCTATGTTACAGTTCGAGCTAAGGGCATTGTTAAATCTCTGTCGTTTTCTAGAGAGGATGGTGAGGGGTTAGCTGGGGATGATCAGATGATTGGTGCTTTGAATGATATGGATATTGATCCTCAAGGTGATGGCATGATGGAAAATGAGGAGGAGTTCAATGAGGATTTCGATGACGATGATCTCCTTGGAGTGGAGCTGTTGGAGGCTGAGGCATCGCGTCGAGGGAGTAGGGAGCCAAACTATGGGAAAAAATCATCACGAAGTAAACGGCAAGGCAGTGCTGCTAATGCTCCTTTGGGCATTAAAAATAAGAAATATGAGTTCCTTCGTCGAGATTCTCCAAGTAATCGTTCAAAGTCTGGAACCAGGGAGGCTAGGGTATCTAGGAAGCAAGCCAGACAAGGGACACTGAGGATAAGAGATACGTCTTCCACACATGAGGTTTCGATGGGTTCCAAAAACTCATCCCACCATCATCCATGAGGACAATCAGTTGGAACTGTCGAGGGATTGGATGCGACCTCACAGTTCGACGCCTTACGGAGATGTGCCAGAAACATCGCCCAGGACTTGTGTTTCTATCTGAGACGAAGAATAGGAAGCTGCTGTTGCAAGACATTCAGGCTGACTTAGGATTTGATAATTTATTTACCGTTGAGCCACTTGGCCGTAGCAGAGGTTTAGCTTTATTTTTTATGGATGAATTTCAAGTTAATATTCTTTTTTCAAATAACAGAATGATTGACATTGAGGCAGTCATTGATGGAATAAAAGTCTACATGACATTTGTTTATGGGGATCCTGTATTAGAAAGAAGAGACTTAGTTTGGGAGCGTCTTACGCGTTTCTCAACATCACGTAATGGACCTTGGTTCATGATAGGGGATTTTAATGAAATCACATGTCATGCAGAGAAGGAAGGAGGCAGAAAACGCTCTGATAGTTCTTTTCTGGCCTTTAAGCAGATGTTAAGTGATTGTGGTATGCTGGAGTTCCCATTTACAGGGAACATGCTTTCTTGGGTTGGAAATAGAGCAGGCAGGACGACTGTTAGATGCCGCCTTGATAGGGCAGTTGGGAATGAGAATTGGCATGAGGAATTCCCCCATTCCAAGGTGAAGTATATGAGACTCTGGGGATCGGATCATCGTCCGATACTAGCGGATATTCTAAAAAGGAAACCTAAGCGTACAAGGAACTTCAAATTTGATAAGCGATGGTTGGATAATGATGAGCTTAGGCAAATTATACTCGAGGGTTGGAAGTCACCAGACCTACCACCGGATGCAAGTATAATGGAGCATATCGCCAGCTGCCGGCGAGCTTTAAGTGTGTGGAAGAAGCAACATAATTTAAACTCAGAGAAAACAGTGGAGGAGTTAAAGGAAAAGGTGGATCGCTTATCTTCGAGTGATGATGCCACAACTGAGGAAATTGCGGCAGCTATTAAGGAACTATCCGACGCCCTTAAGGCGGAGGAGACGTTCTGGAAGCAGAAGTGCAGGATTTTCTGGTTGAGAGAAGGGGACAGGAATACTAAATTTTTTCATGCCCTTACAAAGCAAAGGAGAGCAAGGAATAGGATTACACAATTGCTGGATGCAGATGGAAATGTGGTGGAAGATGAGGAAGGTTTGGTAGCCATTGCTACAGACTACTTTAGACACATCTTTCAATCATCAAACCCTGAGGCAATAGAGGAAGCACTCTTGGAAGTCTCTACCACAATTACCTCAACAGATAATGAGAGTTTAACAGCGCCGGTTACTGAGTGAGAGGTTAAACTGGCCCTTTTTGTGATGCACCCAGAGAAAGCTCCAGGACCAGATGGAATGACAGCATTGTTCTACCAGAAATTCTGGGATATTGTAGAGGATGATTTAACTCTTATGGTTAATCAATTCCTATTTGAGGGAACGGTGCCTTCTGGGCTAAACGATACCAACATATGTCTTATTCCAAAAGTGGACAAGCCAAATCAGATGAGCCAGTTGCGTCCTATTAGCTTATGCAATGTCAGCTACAAGATTATCTCTAAGGTCTTATGCCAGAGATTAAAGAAGTTTCTCCCAGACAGAATCTCAGAGACCCAGTCAGCCTTTGTTGCTGGGCGACAGATATCTGATAATATTATGATAGCTCAAGAGCTGTTCCATGCTTTAAGAACAAAGCCGAGTGGTCGAAACAAGAGGATGGCTATCAAGACAGATATGAGCAAGGCTTATGACAGAATGGAATGGTCCTTCATTGAGGCCACCATGAGGAAGATGGGTTTTTCTGAAGTTTGGATAACTATGATAATGAGATGTGTAACTTCAGTTAAGTACAAGGTACTTATGAATGGACAGCCAAGAGGAAATATTGTCCCGGAGAGAGGTCTACGTCAAGGGGATCCTCTGTCCCCTTTCATTTTTATTCTGTGCACGGAAGCGCTCGTTAGCCTTCTAAATCACGCAGAGAACCAAGGAAAGATAACGGGGATGCGCATCACGCGTGCGTGTCCATCGGTATCTCACCTTCTCTTTGCTGATGATAGTCTGTTTTTCTGTAAGGCGGAGCCCCGTGAATGTGAAGAAGTAATGAAAGTGGTCACGATATATGGACAAGCCTCAGGGCAATGTATTAATTTTGATAAGTCTTCTTTACTCTTTGGTAAAAGAATTGGCCTCGATGTGAGACAAGAGATTAAAGACACACTTGGAATCCAGAATGAAGGAGGAATGGGGTCATATTTGGGCATACCAGAGGATATCAGTGGGTCTAAATGTAAACTTTTTGCTTTCCTTAAGGACAAGCTGAGAGGTAGAGTAAATGGATGGACTGGCAGATGGCTTTCGAAAGGGGGAAAAGAAGTTATGATAAAGTCAATTCTGCTTGCTCTTCCGACATATGTTATGTCTTGCTTTCTTCTCCCTTTGGAGATTTGTGAGAATTTAGCTAGTGCCATTGCACAGTTCTGGTGGAGCTCAAATCCGCCAAAAAAAGGCATGCATTGGTCAACATGGGACAAACTTTGCTTACCTAGGGAAGAAGGCGGAATTGGCTTTAGAATGATACATGAATTCAACCTTGCATTACTGGCAAAACAATTATGGAGACTGACTCAAAACCCTGACTCTCTTGTAGCTCGAGTTTTGAGAGGCCGGTATTACAGGATGAGTACGCCTTTGCGTGTGATCAATACTAACAGCCCATCATATGTGTGGACAAGCATTTCGGCTGGTAGGGAGCTACTATTACAAGGAATTAGACAAAAAATCCACTCGGGATATGAAGTTAAAGTTTGGGAAGATCCATGGATCCCAACCATACCTGCGAGACCAGCAACCCCACTAGCTCCGGTTATGCATCCGAATATGAGAGTGAGTGATTTGATTGACCAAACGATGAAGTCTTGGGATGACAACCGCCTCCGCGACTACATTGATGCAGCTGACATACCTCTTATCAAAAGTTTGGCCATTAGCTCTTCGCATCGGCGAGACACGTTCTGCTGGAGCTATACGAGGTCTGGGCAGTATACTGTAAAATCTGGATACTGGGTGGCACGAAATATCTTGACGAAAGAGGAAGATCCTGAAGTTCGTGAGCCCAGTATTACAAAACTCCAAGCACATGCTTGGAAGGTTAGGGCCCCCCAAAAGATACGCCATCTTATGTGGCAGGTAATAACAGGGCATGTAGCTGTTACGAGCATTTTGAACTACAGACACATGAGGTGTGACAACCATTGCCCTCGATGTGGGGTACCGGAGGAGACGATCACACATGCAATATTTGAATGCCCTCCTGCTTTACAAGTTTGGGCGCTATCATCTACGCCTACCAATCCCGCTGTGTTCCCAGTACAAAGCACATACGCGAATATGGATTATCTATTCTGGAGGAAGAATGCGGTAATGGAACCAAAATTGGATAGGGATCCTTATCCTTGGCTAATCTGGTACATTTGGAAGGCTAGGAATGACAAGCTCTTCAGAGGTATTGATAGGGATCCATTAGAGGTAGCGCGCTACGCAGAAAGTGAATGCCAGGCATGGTTCCAAGCAAATGAGCAGGAAATTCTGATTCCCATTGGAAACGGAACAGCGGAAGACCAGACCTTAAGTTTGGATAACATATGCTTGGTGGATGGATCTTGGTCTGCTACAAATACGTTCAGTGGATGTGGATGGGTGCTTAACGATAATGTTGGAAATAGTAGCTTAATGGGGATGCGCAATTTTGATAGAGTGGAGTCGGCGTTGCATTCAGAGTTGGAGGCACTGCGGTGGGCAATGGAGAATATGATTCAACATTCGCCATGTCAGAGCTTTGGGACTGATTGCAAGGAGATGATTGAGATGCTCAAGAACCCTCATGCATGGCCAAACTTTTCAACGGAGCTGGAAAAGCTGGAGATACTGAAGATATGCTTCCCTGACTTTAAGATTTGTTATGTTCCTAGAGGTCAGAACGTTGTTTCTGATTCTCTAGCCAAGACAGCTAGGTCTTTTTATCGTAAGCTTGTGTACGTTGGTTGTTCTGTTCCGGTCTGGATTCCCAGACCACCTCAAGTTCCTTGAGTAATAGATCAGCCGTTTGATGTCAAAAAAAAAAAAAAAAACACATTTCATTTGTAATACTTACGATGAAAAGAGTGTGAAACACAGACTTAAACATGTCACTAATACTTCAAATTATATGCATTCAGCAACAATCTTCATATGTAATTTAAAAGTCGTGGATATTAAATTAAATTCTTACCATATATAACTCTTTTTAAACATCAGATTATAACTTTAAAATAAGTCATCAAAACTACAAACAACATAAAGTAAAGACTAATGTTTTTGAGGCGAGGCCATAATTCTTAATTTAGGAGTCATTGTTAGTTAATGATTTAAATATAAAGTTCCAGTGATGGTTTGTTTATAATGATTGTTCTTTATTCTGGTTTGGCCTGCTATATATTTTTTAATCCATAAAGAATTTTCATGAATTGGTTCGGAGAATAATATTATTTTTACATTTGGATCAAATTTTGAATCAGTATTATTTCTATTATGAAACTGTTCAATTTGGTATTACAACTCAATGATTCTAAAATTAAAAAAAAAAATTGAATCGGCTGTAAAATTTCACAAATGTTTTATACGAAACCTAAGTAAATAAAATAAAATATATTTTAAATTATAACTAGGTTTAGCTAAATTTTAATCATCTTACATATCATTGCACATATGATTTTCCAGTAATAACTAACAACAAATTGTGAGTTAAATTATTTGAAAGGTTTTAGTCACAATGCAACGAATAACTACTAACCGAATTTTTACCAATTTAATAAGTTAAAGAAATTATAATATATATAATCAATTTATATTAAAATGTATATTTTATAATTTAAGTAAAACTTATATAAATACCCTGGGCATAGCCCGAGAATATTAAAATAACTAAATCCTAGTAACTAGTAAATAATTTTATGAGTTTTAAATTAATTTATATGTATAAAATTTAAATAAAATATTATTTAGTAATTTTATATTTTATTTTAATTAGGTATGTGAGTTCACATCTGAGATTTCAGATCGGTTCATTTTCATTTTTATTTATTTGGATTGCAACAATTTCAATTCATCCTTTACCACCCGCAACTCTACAAATTTCTCTTAATTTTAGCAAAAGCAATCTTGAGCTCCTTCCTCAGCTCCCAGATCGTAATCTTCCCATCCTCTATCTTCTTACTGCTATGATGACTCCTTAATTAGATGGCCTTTCATTATTACGATAAGTTCGTTACTGGCCTCCATGAGCAAAATTCAAAATTCATGAGCAAAGATCAAACAAAAAAAGGATTTTAGATGTGAATACCTTTGCATTCACGAAAGCTATCTTCGTATATGCTTCTTTCCCTGCCAGAGAATTCAGAGCTGGAACTTGGCAACCTCGAGGTCTCATGCAGCAGGCAAGTCGATTAAGGTCTTCCTGGTTCGTGGGTAACGGTCCATCACCATAATGCATGAATTTCCACTTCCGAGAGTTGCAGGCTTTGAGGCCGGTCCAAACTAGCTTCGATGAAACAGTTCTAGTAGACCGAGGTAGCTTGCATTTAGGCGTTATCAAATCTGCCAGAGAATCGGAGTTCGAGTTCAGAGAAACAAGCGAGACTCCAGCAATAGAAACTATCCTTTGTCTCTTTTTAGAATCAGAAATCAGAACCAATGACGCACTATCTGCAACGTCCTTCTCTCGGATCGTCTTAGCAGATCAGAACATTGATCTTCATCCTCCTACCTAGCCTATCTGCAGGAGACGAGTCCGCTGGAGAAGCCATATGACTCCATGGGACTAAGGATCAACCCAAACCTTCAGTCTTGAGAATTCGGAGCACCGAAGCTTTTTCATCACCTCGAGGTGCTGAAACGAAACTAGCATCTAGTTTTGTTCGAAGGACACCAGTGAGGATGATCTCGTCAAAGAACCTCGATGAGTCCTCAGAATTCATCAAACATGGGAGAAATTCGTGAGAGAACTAAAAGAAAAAAAAAGAAAAGGGTATAAAATCTAGGGAATAAAATTAGAATGACTCAAATTTATGGTGATATTACTAAAATGACTCATATTTTTTTTCAAATTATTAGAATGTTTTCGTGGTCAGAATTACCCCTGCCGTACAACAGAGTTGTTAAAAATGTCTATCGTATGACACAACAGATTTGTCTATATTTTTTCTGATTTGTATTAAAAAAACGATTTCTTAAATATGTCTGTC